CAGTTATTTTTACCCAAATACTGAATATTTTTATTAGTCTGCTTTCCTCCTAGCTTAGACTGTGGAATCAGAGGAATAAACATTTCAGCAGTGGGGGAGGAGGCTGATTTTGGAACATGGGGCACTGCAGAGGGTAGGCCTCAATGTGCAGTGAAAAGACAGCCCTGCGCTCCTGGGGCATAGAGAAGGAGGGTCTGCAGAAGATTGGAGGGAGGGTCTGGAAAGAGTGGAAGAGAGAGCTCCAAAGATCCACTCTACCTACTTTGCAATGTTGCCCAGGGCCCCAGTGCTGCCACACACCACAGAAACTCTTCAAAAGTGGCCTCCTGAGAATTGGCAAGATTCAGGGAATTCAGTGCAACCAAAATCTCCAAAGATCCACTCTACCTACTTTGCAATGTTGCCCAGGGCCCCAGTGCTGCCACACACCACGGAAACTCTTCAAAAGTGGCCTCCTGAGAATTGGCAAGATTCAGGGAATTCAGTGCAACCAAAATCACAGCGCACTTTTCACTGTAACACTTTCCCAAGATGATCTACTTTATGCTGGCAAAGGATCTCGAGAGCACAGAATGCCAACTTAGTTAAAAATCGGAGCCAATGCTCTAGTTCCTGTGACAGTGGATCCTGGACAGGTAAAACCAAGTCTGCCCGGACTTCCCAGGGTAATGATAGCCCAATCAAAGTGACAGTGCAGGCTCTCCACACCTATTAACACCACGCCTTTGAAGACGTTGTTGATTTTCCCATTCAAAGTTCATTTTAAGACTCATTAGTTCCTAATTTGGTTTTCTTCTTGAAGAAGTGCTATCTGAAAGCCAGAAGAGGATCGTGACCTTCTATTTTGAAACTGTATCTTGCAATAGAATATTACTTGTTTACAGGATTCTAATTTCAATTTGAGTTATTTTTGACAGAGCACTGCCTGTGATTTCGCAGACAGGGCCCTAGTGAAGAATGTCTTAATTTAATTTTCTTTTATGTGTTAATTCTGTAATTGCTTCCCAACCACAGAGCTCAGTAGAGTGAGGGACATGAAGTACTTGCTGGGGGTGCTGGCAGGAAGGACATTTTATAAGCGTTTTTAGGCATTGATGAGTATACGCAGAACACTACATTGCCGACAGGCTATTTAAGACTGTGCAATTAAAAAGTAATTAGGGTAACTAAAGTATTGAGGGTTTTAGATCCATGACAACTGTAAAAAAACAGAAATGGGATATTATAAGATAAAAAATGATGGCACTATTATGTGAATTTTTTTGCTTTTTTAAATACATCTATGTATCCAAAGAAGTTTCTAGCAGGGTTTGCAGCCAAGATGATACTCCAGGGTTATTTTGTGATTCAGAACAATGGTACTTAAACCTTTCCTCCCACCAGTTATTCTCGGAGGTGGGCAGGGGTGGGGGTAGGGGAGAAGAAGGCACAAAGACATGCTAGAGAGAAAAAAAACACAATTCTGTTAAACCGGTAGGAGAGAGGTGGGGATTGAAAAAGGGCGTTGTGATGCATTTGCAAGAGCCTGAGCTCTACAGTCAGACCCCAAATTCCAGTCCCAGCTCCACCACCTGCCCTGCGGAAGGCATTTCAACTCTCTGAGCACGAGTGATGGCAACAGTGAGTAGCACCCACCTAACTGCACATGGTGGGTGTAGTTAGGAAAGTGTCATAGCCACAAGGACCTGAATCAAGCAAGGAGTCCAAAACCTAAATATTGCAGTGTGGTGTTTCCCTTACACTGCCCCTACGCCTCAGCCTCCACAGAATCCTTGAGAGAGAGCACCTTGAGGCTTCTACCTGCCTGCTTCTTCCCACAGCTGCCTCTTCTCTGGGGGAGCAGGGGTGGGGGGCAAGGGCAATGCCAAGGGACTTGGACAGCTCCCACCCCATCAGAGTTCCTCCCACACATAGCAAGTGACAGAAGATCTTTTCCAGACAGAATCAGCAGGAGGCAGCGCTGCATATGTATAGGTGGACATGGGGAATGGAAACAGTAAAATGCTTGGTAATTAGTGTTTTTTAAAAAAAAGTGTCTGCCTGCCACCCAGACTGCTTCCGTGCACAGCACCTGGTGAGAACCGCTGCTCTAGGATATGACTATTTTAGGTTGTTTTTAATTAAAAGAAAACATTCCTTCCAGACCTGGCGTACATTTGCCCATGAATAGTGCATTGGAGCACTTTGAATGTTGCTGATCTAGAACATTCTAGAATGAAGGAAAGCACCTGCTTCCCAGATTCCTTGTCTTGGTTTTAAAATATGCTGATTTGCAAAGGAAAACAATGGTCATTTATATCATTTCTTCCAGAACATAATTGCCGAGCATGAAATTCGTAATATCTCCTGTGCTGCCCAGGACCCAGAAGACCTCTCAACATTTGCTTATATCACAAAAGATTTGAAGTCCAATCACCACTACTGTCACGTGTTTACTGCCTTCGATGTGGTGAGTACCTACTCTCTTGGAACAGATTAAATGTTTCCCTAAATGTGCCTGGATTTTACTGAAAGCCCAAACTGTACTTAATATACTAGCTTGGCTTATTTACCAAGTATTAAGATATCCCAAGTGTACTGGTTTGCGAGGGCTGCCGTAACAAAACACCACAGACGGGGTGGCTCAAACAACAGAAATTTATTCTCCCACAGTTCTGGAGGCTGGAAGTCCAGGAACAAGGTTTCACTGGGTTCAGTTTCTTTGATGCCTCTCTCCCTGGTTTGCAGATAGCTGCTATCTCCTGTGTCTTCACGTGGTCCTTCCTCTCTGCATGTTTGTGTCCTAATTTCCTCTTCTTATAAGGACACCGGTCATATTGGATTAGGGCCCACTCTGATGGCTTTGTTTAAATGAGTCACCTCTTTAAAGGCACTGTCTTCAAGTATAGTCACATTCTGAGGTACTAGGGTTAGGGCTTCAACATATGAATTTTGAGGGGTCACAATTCAGCTCATAACATCATGTATAAAATATTTGGTCAGACTCAGCTTTTCTGAGATTTTTCTATATTTTCACTCTTCTATTTAATTTAGAATTTGACCCCTACCTTGTATCTCAACTATCATTACTCAACTACTAACTTCACTTTTCAGATTTGAGAAATTTCTTTCTTTCTCTGGTGCCAAAATACAGTAAAGGTCCTCTAACCTCCTTGTTCTTTCATGACATCTGTCGGTTTCTCCAGTAGCCATTTCTAATTACTAGGGCATAATAGGCGTGTTTGCCTCATACAGTGCTTGCGGTTTTCTGTATCATTCAGAAATTAGTCTTATAGTGATATCGTTATGGTGTTATGCTACTTATATCCATACTTGTCATTAAGCCTAAAAACTAGTCCATATATTATAAACTTTGAAAATAAAAACCATTTAAGAAAACAACAAATGTTCTTTTCAGATAGATATACCCTCAAGTCAGTACAGATCGCTTGAGGGTATCTCTAATTTAGTATCTTGGGCATTCTTTAGTTGAAGCAGAAAGAACAGGTATGACTGTAAGCCTGAAATAATTTATAATCAGAAAAATTTGAAAGTGCCACTTTGATTCTTCTGCTCTGCTCACTGGGTTTGAAATGTTCAGACTTAAAGAATTAGAAATCATAATGTAGTATATTCTCGAGAGGCCTGGTTCAGTGTCAAGGGTAGAAGACAGTTTGAAGCCATCTCTTCCAGTTCTGACAAACACCCGTGGGCCGAGGCTGACCATAATCCCACGTGGACGCCATCCCGAGGTCCGGGGGCCCGGCTGCTGCTCAGAGCACTGGGATCAGGCCGCACGTTGCTCACCCCTCTCCATTTTTTAAGACTGAAAATGGGGAAGAATGCTCATGGGCCTTTCAAAAAAAATTCCTTCTCTTTGGGCAAGCATGAAGAAAATAATAGAGAAGTAGTGTGTGCTAACAGCAAAGACTGCAAAGCAATGTCCCGCAAGGCTGTTCTAAGATCTCCGGACGTGTTTGTTTGCACGGGATTAACGTGTTGATTAAAGTCGTCTCATTCAAGGATTACGACATGCAGTGTTAGGTTTCTGGTGCTTTAAACATAACTTGCCATTCTCGTGGAACTCAATTGTTTCTTTAAGCAGTCACATTTCATCCAGTCCACATATATTTTGGTTTGCCTAAAACACTTTTCTCTATGGGAGTTGGATTGGCATCACAGAAAAGAACGGGCAGACCAAAATTCACATCCCACATCAGCTACCTCCTCATTCCCTCATCTTAGACAAGTTGTGGGACTACTCTGAGTCCCGATTTCCTTATCTGTGAAACAGAGACAAGGATGTGTACCTCACAGGATTGCAGCAGGATTGAAGTGAAAGGATGTGTATAGGGTGCCCTGTGAGAAACAGGAGCTGTCCCATGTCAGCTCTTCCCACCTCCTGCCTCACCTGCTGACGTCAGCTGACAGCCTGACCCTTTTTCTGCTGAAAGACATAAGAAAGGTTTGCCAGAAGTGCATTTATCACCCACAGTTTCCCTGCTGCTGTTGTAAAAAGAATTGAAAAAGTAGGTGCAGTCAATAATAAAAAAAAAAGAAACCATAGAAAGAAAACACTGACTCCAACTCCAACAGACCTTGCTACTCTATATGATGTTTTTGTTGAACATCAGTATTAATATTGATACTTGTCAGGGTGAATTCCAGCCTTTCCCTAAATATTCTGGCATTTCTTTCAGTAAAATTGGTTTTCCATGTATAATTTGCCTTCCTAGGAATATCACAAGCATTGTTCTATATTCAAACTAAAAATATCTGCGGGCCATCTTCCCCCCTGAGTTTGTTAGTGATTTATATGTGACACCAGAATACTGAGGTGAAATGTGGGGGGAACTGTCAACTGTTTAGTCTTATGATCAGCGTGCTGTCCCTGATGCATTTGGAAAACGTGTGAATTTCTTCAGCTTTTATCTTTCCATCCAGATTTAACGTAGACATTCACTAGCTTAGGACTCTCATATCAGCTCCAAAGGATTCTTATCTTACACAAATCCACCATTTTAATCCTCTCTGGGTGAACACAGTTTGTCTGACTTCAAAAATAGTAACAAAGGCCACCATCCTTGACCTGGGGCTTTGAGCAATTCTGAGATGCAACAAGCTTTGCTTGCACTAAAAAAAAGCTTCTTTGAGCATGGGTTTTTGTATCTTTATGTAGGGCAATTCAATATCCAGTCCAGTCTTGAAGTGCTAAGATTCTTTTGATGTGGATCAGTCTCCTGGGCTGCCCCAAATGGCAAAAAAAAAAGAGAATACCTTATAATACTTCAAGTACACATTTAACCTTTTAGCCAATATGATATGTATGAGTACATATACATTTTTAATTGGAAAGTTATTGCTGCTTTAACCTTATAGACCTTTTATGGGTCACATGTTTTTATGTACTATCATCATATATCACATGTTTTTATCTGCTGTCATCAGTGATGTCTAGGAATTTTCCAGTCTACAGATAGTTAGATTTGAAATTTAGAGCATTTTCCCACAGAATTCCTGTGGTCTGGGAAGGGAGGCCCAAAGCCCCCTACAAAATCTAGGATGTGAGTTTAACATAGTTTACGTGCTACAGGACACTGCCGAGCTTGAACACACTCAGATGTGAGGACGGGGTGGTGTGCGCAGAGCTTCCCGAGGTTATTTGGCCATGCCAGCCTTTTTGGGAAAGCATCTTGCAAGGGTGCTATTCTATAGAACACATTTTGGAAAATGTTCTGCTTGACAATCTCAAAGCCTATTTCCATTACTTTGAATCTATGATAAATTTATCTTGTGATATTTCCAGTTTTAAATGACAGGTAGATGAAAATAAAAAACCAGAGCAAAAATGGAATTAGGGTTATCGAGAACAAAAAGCCAGTCCATGCCTCCAGGCAAACACTGAGCCTCCTCCGTATTCTGTACTCTTGCTGTCGTGGGAGCACATCTCTATTCACGTCTCTAACTTGGTAGGCCTGAAACACATCTCGCCCACTGCAGAACAAAAGGTTTCCCAAACTTCACCTCCTGGGCAGTGAAAACTCAGGGGGAGAGGGAGCAGTACGGGTGTGTAGAAAAGAAGGATGTGTTATGAGACTAGATGTTGGGAAGGTTAAAAATCAGACTCAGCTTTTCTGTCCACCACTCTTATCTCGAATGGGTGGTGGGGGATTCTACAGACGTGATTGCATGAGGGGGCGTGGGTGTTTCAGTGGCCACCAGATCCCAAGGCCACAGTGATCTTCCTGAGAAAGCCACAGTAGGTAAGAGATAGATGTAACCAAGGTAATTTGGAAACTATTGTCTTCTATATTTTACCCAGTTATTCTAGATTTCTCAGTAATAGAGGTGACATAGGTAGATCTGAAAGATTTTGATGCATTCTCTGTAGAAGTATTGGATTTGCTTTTAAAATCTGAGAGGGGCCTTATTCAATAGTTTTAAATGTTGATGAACAGTTTTCTTTTTTCTTTTTTTTTTTCTAAATAAGCATTCAAAGCCATGACTTTGCTGCTAGACCCTTGCTAACTCTCACTTCTCTTTAAAGAACATGTTTGCAGTCTTTGATATTTTTAACCATGCTCATTTTTCTCTTACTTGCAACTCCAAAATTCTGTAATCTTCAGCGTGCAGCACATGGTGTGGCCAGGACTGGCTCAGGAATACAGAGTGACTGGAGAAGTCATGGAGCTGGTGGGCGGTACATGTGGGAGACAGTGCTTCCTCGTCCCTCTGCTTTCTTGGCTGAATGTAGGCCATGAAAGGACCTAAGCTGGAGAAACAGCAATAACAAAATGCGGGAAACATGGTCAGGCAACTGTGTGATGGCATTCTATAGTACTCTGCCATCAACATTTTCTTGGCTGAATGTAGGCCATGAAAGGACCTAAGCTGGAGAAACAGCAATAACAAAATGCAGGAAACATGGTCAGGCAACTGTGTGATGGCATTCTATAGTACTCTGCCATCAACACGCACCAAGCAAGCCAACGTACAGGGAAGGACTCTCTAGAGTCAATCACATTGTCATGATCAGGGAGACCCACACCAGCTTCTGACTTTGCCTCTGCTATAAGTTTGTTTTTTAGTTTTCCCATCAGTTTAATGAAATTCAAATTCCTGAATTCTTTCTTAAACTCTGAGATTGTTTCAATGCAGTAGTTTGAGATTCCTGAAGAAAACTACTTACGGCTTATGTTGCAGAGGTTGTCCCACAAGGTGGGGACCTTAAAGGTGCAAAAGAACATTTGCTGTTGTTGTAGATGTTAACTGACCTCTGACAACTAAATTAATATTTTACATGGAGGTAGGTGGTCTCTCTCATTCCGTTTCTCATTTTCTTCACCTGAAAATGGCCCTCAACCTATTTGGCTGTGATACTGTGAAAACAAATGGCAATATAAGATGATGTAGAAGTGTCTGGAGCCCTAAAGATTGAACTGTAACACTTGCCCTGGCTAGTCTTCCACA